AACAAGCTTACAGTTTAGAGTGGGATCGTTTGGCAAGGGAAACTCAATAGGGCTGCAAAGCGCGATAAGATAAGAAGATACGGCCGCTTGATATGGAACGCGATTTCAATGGGAAAATCGAACATATCATATCAAACTCAGCAGTTATCATTCTAGCAAGATCAACTGGTGAGCACTGTTGTCTCATAGGCGTATGTGAGCCATGCTTTAGCGCCTTATCACGCTGTCAGTGTCTCTCCTCCGCAAAAGCACCACTAATCATCTATGGGGGCAGGCTCTAACACATTCACTACCTACTAGTCCTCCACGGAAGAGCCTAGATTATCGCGAACACTGCCTTTAATTACGTTGGTTCGGAGTATATTTGAAGCCCATTTGCGGTAGGCTGAAGCATTGTCTCTCGACTAATATCCTGCTTTCCTAATTGACTTCTAAAGACTGACCCTGAGGATAAACCTTCTTGGAATGCAGTGGTGATCTCATAGCAGTAACTAGAAATTCTGAAAAAAAACACGGGTACATCGTGAGGCAATGACCAAAAATTTGGTTCGAATGTTGTTCGAGGTCCAGACCAGAAGAAAAACGGTCGTTCAGTCAGCTTGAATGAATTCCGCTTTGCAACAAAGTGAACGTCCGCTTTAGATAGAAGCGAGAACAGAGAGATAATGCGAACCGGAAGGGACTAATCAAAAGCAAAAAGTCATTTGAAAGAACTCCAGGCCTCCTGCCTATGATTAATTATACAAATATTGTAGAAAACAAAAAAGGAACGAAAGCAGAAGAATAACTAGGAGTGAAAATGGATCCCTGCCTTATTGAAAGCGAGGAGAAGAGCTAGGAATTCTTCAATAGACATTGAACGTGCACGCTTTTCAGCAAAGCCTGCCTCCACTAGTGTGTCTTCAACAAGTTTTTTGATATTGAAATCCTTCGGTATAGCCTGAAAGAAAAAAATTACATGGAGAAAAATGTTATCTACTGACATGAGATGTATAGGGATTTGACTGAGCTAGAGACATGGTATCAGGGAACAAACGAACGAACCTTGTTCATTAAACTGCACACCTTCTGGTGATTTTTCTCAATCAAATCTATTACGTTGTTCAGTTTGAATATAGAGAGAGCACAATGAAGCAATCCTTCCCGATTCCTGAACATTAACAATACCCTATGTTAGCAGGCATAATTAAAAACCAAATTCAGAACGCTATAACAAAAAAACGTACGTCAAAATTGATAGGAGGAGGTGGATTCTTAGGTGCAATACGAACCACCGCTGAGTCGACCTTAGGAGGAGGGCGGAATTCGGTCCTTTTGATCTTCATGAGGTGTTTCAACCTAAAAACTAACAGTTGGAAAAAAGCACGCAAGGTTATGAAATCAATTAACACTCTGTTCTAGAATATGTATAGGTACAAACCTTTGCAAGAAGCTGTACATTCACAGATAATCGGCAGTAATCTTTATCGCCTGGTTTTGCTACCAATCGATCTGCAAATTCTTTCTGGAACATCAGCACCGCATATCTGAAATATACACACTTAAGTAATATTGCGATTAAAACAAATGAAAACAACAGAAAAAAGTGGGAAGAAGGACAAATAGGTAGCGGCCGCAAATCTCGTGACAAAAGTTCAATCATGTAATCGAATCTTAGCTGGTATAAATACTGGCATGTGTTCACTAGGTTTATGAAGCGGGGAATCTTGTCCCAAAGGTTATAGAATACCATAAAGTAACCCGCACAATGGTCGTGCTGCGCGGTCACTTGTGCAGACAGAAAGCGAGAATCTTTTCTATCAGAAGTTGAGTCGGAGATCATCGCCGCGGACAGGCGTTTCGCGCGCTGCGAAAAGGCAAAAAAGTCGCTTTTTAACTGGCGACCCATGCCAACCACCTCCACCTGAGAAATATTATATGGGAGTAAACGATGGGAGCAAACGAATGAAAAGCAAAAAGGAAAAAAGCTGAGAAGTGTCATTGAAGACAGGAAGTGGATATTAGGTTGCGGTAAAATGAGAGCGAAGATTGATCAGAGGAGAGCTTCGAAAGAATGGCAAGAAAAAGGTAAAGAAATGGGGGTGAACACCTTAAGTGTAAATAGTTCATAGGATGTGAGTAAAGAAGGCTAGAAGAGCAAACAAAAGGCATGAAGCAGTCGAGAATCTCATACAAACATGATAAATACCGTGTTTATGATCCCTCCTGGAAGTCACGATCCTAAATGCACAAAACTCAAAAACTACTTCAAAGATTGACTTCAGGTAAAGCAAAATAGTTACTGATGCCCTGCCAGTATAGGAGGATGACGCTAGATGCTGCTAAAGCTGATCGCTGGGCCCATAATGTCGGGTGTGGTTCACTAGGACAGGAAGCGACTTTTTCGCGTTTCGCAGCGCGAAACATTTTTCGCTGCGGGAACCTCAGGTCCACCGCTGATCATGAGTGGACCTGAGGTTCCCGCAGCGAAAAATGTTTCGCGCTGCGAAACGCGAAAAAGTCGCTTTCTGTCCTAGTGAACCACACCCTATAAAGCCAGGGGCTGGATTAAAGTCAGAGGTAAGAGAACGGTTGGAAATCGACAACCTTAAGCGAAGCAGAGGAACTGAGGCTGGGAACCAAGATTTGTTCAACAAATAGAGATTCGGTCGTTCGCTAGCTGAAGGCCATGAAATATGCTATTGAAAGCTTTCATTGTCTCGTTGAATTCTAAATCGAATTCTAGTCAATGACTTCAAATACAGTCCACAAAAATCACATGCAATGTAAATTCTTTATGGGATGTTATAAGATTGAGATTTGATGTTAGGACAAAGCCAAAAAATTCTGAACCACCTATTGGAACCTTAGCAAACCATACCTTGGAAGTGGCCGTTGTAACAACAGCTTAAACGTAAAGGGAGATGAGATCTGATACGGTAGGTTCGCTACACACACATCAAAGAATGGCCATTCGGTTTTCATGACGTCACCATGACGTACTTCCAATTTACTTTGAAGAGGGCTAAAAAAGTCACGTGGATATTACATTTGCCTTTTAAGGGATATAGGAAAAGAAATATTTGTGAACCTACGTTGCCATGACACGCTTCTTTAACTCTGCCACCATTCGCGGATCGATTTCGCAAGCGATTACCTTTCTTTGCCACTTCAAGCATCTTCACTGTTAAGTTACCTGTACCGGGCCCAACTTCTAGCACAGTATCCGTCGATTTGAGAGCGGACTAAAACTGTAAAAATCGGAAAACTGCAGGAGGCCTTCAACCAAGTCAATACATGTTCCAAACGCCATTTCAGGAGAGCGACAAAAATGTTTAAAAAGGACCTCACAAAAAGGTTTCCCACTTTCTAGGAAATCCCAAAACCTCACAAGCTTAGGCCAAGAATGACCGATATTCCTTATCTACAAGTAAATGGCAATACCATCTCGACAAGAACTACCCCTCATTCACACTTGATATACAAGAAATCAAGGAAGTATGGTACAAAAATAGGTGTTACAAATTTCGGCACTATTCAACTATTACAACCCCAAAATCTCAAAATTTTATTTTCGTCGAAACTTTGCCTATAGGGGTAATTCGGTGCCCTGATTACGAAAATGACATTCATTTTTCGGTGGCCAGTTGGCGCCACCTTGTCACGACACCTGTTTTCACCAAATTCGATGTAAACTTCTGTATAGGGGTTATTTGGTGTCCTGATTACGAATATGACATTCATTCTTGGCGCTAGCTCCATTTGCGCCTTATTCTTCGTCTGCGCCCTCCTAGTGACTAGATCGCGATCAGGACTAAGCTTTAGGGGAGAGGAGGGCTATCAGTGAGTAAGCCACC